CTTGATCTGGTAGCGCAGCTGCATATTACAATTCGTCATGTGCTCATTTGCCGTTGATTTTGTTTTGCGGTTGCATGTTGCTAGTGCCATTGCCAGTTAGATTTGGCTATGCGCGCATGATTGTTAGCGCAGCTGCCTGTTGCCAGCGTGATGCGCTTTAGTCTGTGCGAGAGAGAGTTGCTGGCATGGCATATGCAGATTGTTTCCAATTCCGGCAAGTCTTTCTTTCCCAGGTTTGTGGCTCTCGGTGCAAGTCTCTGAGGAGCTTTTCTGTGCGCTCCCCTCCATTGGGAATTTGTTTTCATGTTTAGTCTGGAACATGGTGACGGTTCCTCCACCCAACATCAGCGTTCCACACTTTCTGGATCATTGTCTTGTGTCCCTGATGCAGACCCCCTTGTTCCATACCCTTCAAAGATTGCCCCGTGGTTTCGCTCCAATCCCGCCCCGTACTCGTTCATTTGTCCATACCCATTGAAGATGGCGAACGGACCGTTTACCAGTGAACTCCGTGATAATGCTACCCAAAGTCGGTTGGGAGTATGTAGACAAACCCAAACTGTCAGCAGTGGTCACCTGAACCCAGGCTTCACTCACAGACAGGGGCCCGAAAGCACACTGCAGAAGCCTGACTTGAAGGCCTTGTATACATATTATGGAACAATATACCCCGAAACCGCAGCTGATTGAATAGGCCCCAACGCTACACCTTCTTTGCACGTACTCGGCAATGTAGGAACCGCCGTCGCAGCGGCCAAAGAAGAAGCGAAGGCAAAGCAACCGGAACGTCTCCCATCGTGCCTTTGCATGTACAACGCAGTACGAATCCTATATATAATAAGATATACAAACAAAATTTACACACACATATATGTATATATATATATATGTAAGAAGCTCATCTTGACGGGTAGAGTAAGATTAGTTTGGTAGATTTCGTAGATTGGAAGGACTTTGATTTTCCACTGTTAGCGGCCGGTCTCGTACTAGGGTATCCTTGGTTTCTTAGCGAGTTTCTTGCCATGAGCTAAAATGGTAACGGTACCAGTAATGTCATCAAATCGGTCATGCCTACGTAGGTATATGGGGCCATGCTTAGTTTGCATTCTGCTGGGACGGCCCTGCTTGCTTTGGAAACCTGAAGCATACCGTAGTAATGCATGTATGGACGTAATTCTGTAATTATGATCATCTTCAGAATCCGCAGGCTTACCACGTGCTAGCAGCTAGCCCTTGTTATGACATCCATGCAACGACCAGTCAAATGCAGGCGTCTAGATGCATGCATGCTCCCAGACCTCCCAAATACCCAAATTATTGCTGCCAGTCCCAAAGTAATCGGTACATAGACCACCATGATAGTATTTGGGAGGTCTAGGCTGACCTGCAAGGGCTCCGCCGAAAACGCAGCGAATTGGCCCGTTCCTGCTTCGGCGAGCGGACGCAAGGCTCGGTAGCTTCAGCTCTCTGGTGGTGCCCACTAGGGAACGGAAGAGGCAAGGGAAACTACTGATGTTCGTTGAGTTGATTCTGCGGAATTTGGGGTGGTTAGGGAATAGGGAAGGGGCTCAGAAGTTGCTACAGTGATGTACGTATTCCTTCACTCTCTCCTCCGTCACAGTTGTGCAATTTATGAGGATGGCGCTAGACTTGACCCCCCCTCCCCCTCACCCCTCTCCGCATGCAGCATCTCAGCGAGGTCATTCTTGCCGGATCCTGCGCCTGTTCAGTTGATATCATCGGCAGCAAGCTAACGGGGATAGCAGCTGGGGCATTTTTACACAGTACCTGATTTTCAACCAGCACCAGGCTGTTCTTTCACAACCTCGCTACCTGGTTCTCAGTCAGTAGGGAGGGAGGGAATGGATACCTACAGGAGTCCCTATGTCAAGCCTTATAGTAGTCTTTATGACGACTTCCATTATTCCTGAGTTCCTTGTTAATCAACAGTAAGTTCAGGTGGGATCAGTTTCCGGCAGAGCTTTGGCTTGCCCTCTCCTCGGCCAGCGGCCGCGAGGCAGCTGCAACTGACGAGGCGCGTCGCTGTAGACATGTGGGTTGGTTTCCAGATTAGGTTCTATGTTTTGTTCCCCGACGATGACCTACAGTGCTGAGACGAAGCGAAGAGACATCTGCTTGTACATTCCACGGGCCATGTCCCTGTTTGATTGGCGTGACATTTTGCTTCAGGGTGCGACGCACCTGGCAGTGGAGCCAGACCACTTGAGGCAACGTGACACCAGGGGTCTGGAATGGAATTGAGCTTTCAGATGTTTTCTTTCCGTGCTCCTAAAGAATGGATGGACGCTGAACAGACAATGCACAGCAATCCCAGAATAACTGTCGGTCCCGTAGTTTATACGCGCAGGCATCAGCCAGTGTTTGGAGCTCTGATGCCTTGGTTTCAGGAGTCTGGCAACGTTGCTGCAGCAGAGGTTGCAGGAGCAACAGGGAGTGCATCATGATAAGAAGGAAGAGAGGTTGAGTGGCTGCTGTAATTCCGAAAGCCCAGCACTAGCTCACTAGCTGGAAGCCAGCACTGGAGGACTTCACGGCCACCAAAGGCCGGGATCGCCACTTTGCCTCCGGGGGTGCGGCAGAGGGAGGAGATCTGGATCCCAGGATCAGGTGCCTGCATTTGCTCGGGCTATCCTGAATGTGGATTGTTGGATAGACAGGGATAAAACCTAAGTTACCAGGTAACCTCCTTTAGTCTCTTTTTGTTTGGATAACATTAAATTGATAACATTCTGAATATGCCTGACTAGCCTGCAGGGAAGCGAGCCTTTAGGTACATCGCCCGATACCGAGATGGCCAGCGGCAGGTGCTCGAGGACTGTACCAAGGCATTGGATGCTGCTCGTCAAGAAATTCAGGACTTACCCGATTTGTTTGAAGACATCAGCCCCCAACCGCCTGCAGCTGCCTAGGACATGCTTGCCCAGTTGCCGGCAGAGACCGAGCAAACTGGAGAGGAGGCACAGGACATCTGGATAGTTAAAGCAAGATCCAGGGGCTAGACTGCCGCAGTGTGCAGCGCATCGATTACGACTCACCACAGCACATCTGGAAAAATTAAAGTGTAACCAGCTGTAATCAGAAACCAGTATCCTTCAGTCTCTTGTGACCTGCATCATACTGTAGGCAACACGAGTGTTTCGCCATGTACCTTCTTAGCAACATAGCCAGCTCACACAGGCAGCCGACCAAGCCGCGGAGTCCTCAACCTGAGCTCAAGCTTGGCAGAAAAGCGGTGAGGGATCCTTGCTCACTTGGTCACAGATCAAACATGATACATTTTGGTGGGAGATCCATGCCGTCTGACTTGCCAGCCGCCATTGACAATCCGAAGCCAGCGACCCAAAAGGAGGCCGGGGGACCCTTGGTGGCGACAGAGAGCGTTTTAGCAACGATTTAACCACAGTATAAGTAGCAGGAACAGTATAAGAGCACCAATACTAGCAATAATAATTGCAGCAACAGTGGTAGTAGCCATAATGGTAACAGTAATATCTTCGCAGATTCGCCCTGCCCCACGCCTTAGTTTCGAACAGCTTGATCACAACTCGCAGGCTATTGCACAGGCGCCTGCAAATAGCGACCAGCCCCGTGGCTGCAGTGCAAGAATCCCTTTCCATCAATGTGGCAGATCACATGGTAGCTTTGCAAAGGTGTTAGCTTTGTAGTTTGTTTGACGCAGGTGTGTTCTGCAGCGTGGGCCGCGTGCGCAACTCGCTTGAGAGTTTGTCATTCTGCAGGCCACGCGATGAGATTGGAGCTCTGCTGAAATGGGACGAGGACTCGATAAGCTGGCTCTTCCAACTGCAGCAGACATACTAAACTCCGGAAGCCGGGACCCTGAGCCTGATGATGCTTCCCTGGTGCTTAAGGAGCCGATGCCAGTCTCATACAATCCCCCATAATCGTCAATAAAACCGATTACCCCATTCCCTACGTGCCGCCCTGAACCCTAAAATTAGTGAGTTTTGGACTCTATGCTTTCTTGGCTCTTAGTCACAGGATCCGAAAGCATCCCGGCAGGCAGGGGCTGGCTTTGGTTTAGGGCCTCGGGTGTAGCCCTTGGCTACGCAATGAGTTCCAGATGCTGTGTTTCTGCCAAGCAGAATCCAGTTTGCATGTTATTGGCCACTCCCCTTGCAGTTGTGATGACTTGAAGTTTGCATGCCAGCAATGCTGAGTATGTACGAGCGACTGCCTGCAGCTCCGCCTGTTTTAACATATCTGAGATGTTCATAACTCTGGAAATCATGTGTCTAGTCTTCAAAATGAGATGGTCTCCTCCAAATAACGAGGGAAGTTTTTTTGTATGCTTTTGCGCTTGAATAAAAATTTGTTGGAAAGCGAGATGCACGACCCAAAGCTTATCAAGTCCAAGCCTAGTAAAACGACATGGTCCCCTCCAACATGCTCCGGAGTATGTTAAACAGGATACAACAACATTGTATAACTAGCATGGGTGACTGTTGACTATGACCCAATCAAGAACCTTGATGCTGCTCATGTGACCTTTGCTTGCATGCATGTTCCACGGCTCCAGTGCTGACCGGCACTTCAGGGCCAATTGTTGTAGACAGTCTTTGCGCAAAGCGAGAGCAGATATGCTGCAAAACTGTCAAGTTTGTCCTTGCTTTGCAAAGATCTTTCAAGCCCGTTTGCCCTTGCGCGGCCATGGCGTATGCACCCCTAGCATCGGCACCGCCGGAGCAGCAGGTGATGTTTTCATTTGCCTGCAGCTGGGGAAGGGAGAATCAGCGAACTTGGCATCTTCACCCTGGATGATTAAAAGCACTGGAGTTGAGAGTGTCAAGATAGTCAAGATGTCCTCACTCACTCTACGAACTCTGTCGCATCTCAACTGGTTGGAAAGACATTTGCCAACGATCAGGCGTCTCTCGTATTCTCTCTGTCGAGTCGTTTAAGCTGCTGCTGGCGTGTGGACTTGAAGACCCTGTGCTCTTTGAGGTGATGGGCCATCCGGCTTTGGTGCTTCGGCAGCAGCTGGCATGTCATGCCTTGCGTAGTGCTTATTCTGGAATGGGGCAATGGGTTGTAGGCTATAGGGATTGCATTAGGAGATAATATCGGGATCCATTCCCTCAGTCCCGTCTGAGTATGTGGCAGGAAATCCTTCAAGCTGCCCAAGCTGTCTTGCCTCAGGCCATGCTATCGAGCGTCCCTGAGCTCCAGGCTGGTCAGGAAGAAGCATTTAGGAACAAGTCAACCATCTTTTCGCAGAAGTGAGAAGACGGGAAATATAGAGGCAGGCCTTCAGTCCTGCAAAGCTTCCTGGCCATATCCAGAGCACTGAAGAGGTGCGAGAGCGCGTCAGCTGGTTGCAGGAGGCTGGACAGACAGCTTGTGCATGGCGGTTCGCAGCCAGTGAGCCAGTGAGATTCTTGTTTCCTTTTCTGTCCGCCTGCTAGGTGACAACCTTTCTTGGGGCGGAGATCGAGGCACGGACGCTAGGTCCGCTAGGTTGGCAAGAAGCCAACACTTTGGAAGAGTGGAAGCGCAATATGAAAACCAATGGATGCTCCGCGAACAATCCTGCCCCATCCAAGGAATCGGTACTCAGTGCAAGATCGTTTGGGCAATCAACTCTTCTATGCCATAGAGAGGCCATCCACATGCTTCAGATTTGCTGGAGACTGAGAGAGCTGAGAAAGTCGTAAGAGGACGGATTGCCTCCGGCGGCAGCTGCAGCGCAGCTGTTTGCACGAATGCAGCTTGACTAGTTCAAGCTCCAGCTGTGCGGGACTCAGTCTTTTCAAGGGCCTTTAGCTGTCTCTGAAGGTGCCAGTTGGGAGGTTGACGTTCTCCACACGCCGCCGGGGCAGTACATGCAGAGGCCAGATAATTGTACATGGCCTGGAAGTTAATAGAATCCAAGGCTGGGTTTCTGTGACATGCTGAAAAGACAAGTGAAGCCATGCCTCTGAAGGATTCCCATATTATGTGCGGATCACTGCTCTTATCTGATCTCGCCCAGTTTTCTGACGATGCGACGGCCGATGCAGTGCGTTTGCTGCTGCTTCTGCCGACCCACCGCAGAGGCCAGGAGTGGTTCTGAAGCCAGAAGCCTTCTCACGAATAAAAGCTGATGGTGCAGGTATTCGACGATGTGACGCAGCAGAAGCTAGGAGCCACACCTGAAATTGGAGACCTTCCGTTTCCACACCGTCGCTCCGGCTGTTGAGCGAAGGTTCCTTCCGCGATCCTTGTCGCTGCTGCAACTACAACTTCAAGCTCCGAGATGCCTTTGACAGCGATGCACCTCGCCCATTTGCAGCTTCCTCCTCACCACGTTTCTGTTTGCGTGACTAGTCTTACGGGGAGCTTGTATGCCAAGGTGCTTGAGGTTCATGGAGGCTGCTGCCAGCCAGCTGTGTGGTTGCTTCGCTAAACATTGGCTGAGTTCGGCAGTTCTTTTTGGCTTTGGCTAGGGTTTGGAGTCCCGTGAAATCTCTCACCTTCTTCTCCCTTCGTGTCAAGGTGTTCGCTCCCTTGTGGTCCCTGCTCGGAGCTCTCGTTCGACGTGCTGGATGCTCGGACAGGACATGAGTGGGGCCCCAAACGTATTGGACTGACCTTCAGACGGCCACCCTAAACAATTTTTGTGGGGCTGATTAGTTTGCTCGTACAGTACTAGTCGTACCAATACTAGTACTAGCATACATAATGGTGCTAGTACTACCATCACAACCAATACCTCATACTCTCATCCCATAAGTGGAATCCCATACACATTTCAAAGTAATACTAATATTCGTACTAACAGAAATTCGTCACATCTAGGATATTCTTGTCACTATGATTAATGTCATTCTTGTCATTCGTACTAATATTCGTATTAGCATTAAGTTATTTAAGGGCTGCCGACGCTGCCGCCGACCCCGCAAAGGGGCGGCTGCAGCACAGGGGCAAA